CATACATACATATATGAATCTATGTCTTATCAAAACTTTCACTAACCCTAACCCTGGGTCTGTAAAGTCTTCCCAGTTGTAGATCTAAGAGTAATTGAACAGAATTGTTTGTACACTGCATCCCACAGATGCTCAAAGGGATTAAGATCTGAGGAATTTAAAAGGCCAAGTTAACACATTGACCTTGTGATTTCCTTAAGCTAATACCTGATAGTATCAAGCCCTAAACCCGCTATCTGAATGACATTATCCATGTGAACAGAGTATTACATTCACAAGGGTCATTAATGATCAAAGTCTTTAGAGTAATAGATGAATTTTAAAGTGCATATCGTCACTATGATCCTTTAAAAGCATTCTTTTCATTCAGTGAATTTAGTAGACTGATGTAGCATGAAATAAGGGACAGCAGATTCATTATATTTTCAATTGAATCTACTGATCCACATGGCTACCATGCAGCGTGGCCATTTGCCTCATTACCAGAGTGATCTAGGATATTACTACAAAGTTTTTACAATGTTAGCTACAAGAGCAAGCTGTTCTCTTGGATTTTTTCTTTTTACTTTTGTATGTATATTTTGTATATATTACTTTTGTATAGCCTTTTAAGTCAATTTGACCTAACAGTGTTGTTTCTATTGTGTGTTTCCATGCAGGTTTTTGATAAAAAATGGAAATAACATTGACTCCCCACCTGTGTATGACTCTTATGAAGTAGAATATTTGCCAAATGAGGGTGTACTAAGTACTGGCCGTTACTTGTTCGTGGAGTTCTCCACAGATGGGACCATGACATCCACTGGTGCAGCCATCAGATATGAAGGTAAGCAGATCTTGCAGACTGCAGAGGGATTCATTTTGTACATACCATATCACACAGTCCTAAGTCTATTTACTTTGTCTATGCAGCCTTTGCCAAAGGGATGTGTTATGAGCCTTTTGTAAAATATGGCAACTTCAGCAGCAGCGACTCCACCTACAGCATGGGAGCGGTAGTTGAGTTCTCGTGTAATCCTGGCTACACTCTGGAGCAGGGCTCTGTAGTTATTGAGTGTGTGGATGCACAAAACCCACAGTGGAATGAGACAGAGCCTGCCTGTAGGGGTAAGTGAACAGATTTTGACTAGATCCCATTTTAACCCTGTTTTATGCTCAGGCCCTTCTGTTTTTCCCATCTTTATCAAGAAAGTAGTGCTCACACTTTCCCACTAAACCTTTTCCCACCCTCATCTATTAGCACTGAATACTAGTGTCTGTGAAAATAATTTTCTAAATAACAGTAGATCCTTCTTTTACAAGTTAATATGACATAATTTATCACACCAGGCCTCTCAATTCTATGATAAAGTCTGCTCAACTTAAACACTTTAAAGAACCAACAGATGGACCAATAAAAAGAACTACTAAAATAATGACATAAAGCATTAAAAGATAATTATAATGGTTACAAATCTTTATTTGAATGTAAAAATAATTGCTTGAAAGATTAAACAATATTGCCAAACAAAATATAATATTATTCCACAAAATATTTATTATGTGCTGTTGAAAATACAACACTTTCAACCAAGAATGATGTGAAGGTTCATTAGATTTAGCAGTTAATTTGATACAGGTCTGAACATAAAGCTAAATACTACAGTGGCTTTTGTTGAAATCTGTAATTTTATGACCAGAGATATTTTGTGTCATAAATCGAAAAAGGATAAAAAAAACAACTAAAGTTTAATTCTTGAGCTGTCTCAGTTCAGTTAAACTCTTTTAAAGACAGCAAAATCTTTAATAAAATTACAAAAAAAATTTTTTTTACCCTTTTTGGTATTGCCATGCCCTTGATCCAACAGTGATTCATCCCAAATCAGTTAGTTTTAAATCAATCAAAATCCGTCTCCATGTGCATCTCCATCATAAACCTTGAATTAAAACGATTTAATTTTGAATTACAAAATGAAAAAAACCTTCCAGTTAAAGAATTAAAGAATCTTGGATTAGTTTTAGATCCTAAGCTTAAATTTGACAAGCATATAAAGAAAAATTCAAAAACAATACCAAGTAATTTCAGCTGTTTGAAATTAATCATGAGCTACATAGCAAACCAGATAGCCCTGCTGTTGCGTGCTATGGTGTTCAACCAAAGCATAGGCTCATTATACAATGGAGCAATAAAAATTATGAAAAAAAATCCAAAACGCTATCACCTCTGTACCACCCATAAGAAATATAAAATAATGAATTTAATTTATATTTCTTATGTGTCATTTTATATAATTTTTTTGATAGATTAGGAATCTGTTTCTGATTGAGTCACTGATTTATAAATCAGTTTCGTTTTAATCATTAGGCACCTGCACCACTATTTCTATCAGTTTAGAGACGCAGCAGCATCTGGGTTACCAGAAGAACCATGACTGTAAAATTCAATACCGCAGGACCAGCTTTGGACAGACGTCCCTCTCTGTTAAGCGCTCTTAGATCTGGAACTCATCACCATCTGACATTAAGACTGTAGCTTAATTAAAATGTTCACTACTGGGCTTAACAACTCGTTTAGAACAAACTAAGGATGTACTCATTTTTAATAATTATAAATAGGTAAGAGTTGTCTATGAGATGCAGGTTTTACTATTTCATTATTATGTTCTTGTTCCCATAATTTGAAGTACTGTAGTATTAAATTCTATTGAATATAAAAGCAGGGACAGGATTTGAAAATTAGCTTTATATATAAACTTCATATGTAGCACCCTAGCTACTTCCATTGTCCCTGTCAAATATAAATGACATTTAATGAAATGAAATTAAATGGTGGACAGAACCTTCACCATCATACGATTTTAATACTACTAAACATTTAAAGGTGTTCCTCTGGCTTAAACTCCTTCTAATGAGAAGCCAGAGAACCTATTACGGTAACCAAGGATTTCAAAGTTTTTTTTTAAGGGCACAGAAAAAAAGAGAAAGCTGTTAAAATTGGTTGTAGGAATTCTTTCTGCTCAGAAAAATACAGACAGTTGTAGCTTGGAAACCTAGGGACGATTTTTTAGAACATCAGCTTATAAACCATAGGCAGCATATTTATTAAAATGCTGATCGCAGGTTAGCTACATGAGTAGAGATCTATCAAACCGGCTAATAAAAACTACTTATACTTATGTTTTTGTATTTAAACAACAAAATATCAAAGGGAATAATATTATGTCATTTACTTAAAAATTGCTTCTAAGTTTAAATAGCATTTAATTAATTAAATAAATGTTGGAATTATTACAACTGTTATAAATAGACTTAGACCAACTTTATTATCCTTTTGTAAATACCGAGTGTATCCAAAAATGAAATTAGGTTGCTTACAGCTTACAACAGTAAGCTGTAAGCAACATTACCCTTATAAAGTGCAGCAGCGATCAGCATGTAAACAGTGTAGGAGAAAAGAAAACCGGTTTAGAAAATAATGGTGCAAAAGGACAGTAATATGTAAAAGTATAGTGCAGTGCAAAAATAAATATGCTGCAAAATGCAGTAGAACAGCCACATTGGTAGTGCGAAATAATGTTGGAAGTGTGATGCAGAGTTCAGCAGTCTGTGTATGGGGGTTGGGGTGGGGGAGGGCTGTTGCAGAACCTGCTGGACCTGCAGCGGATGCTGCAAAGCCTCTTCCTAGAGGGAGGGAGAACAGACCATGATCGGGGTGTGAGGGGTCGCTGATCATGTTACGGGCTCGACACATGCAGTTACAATGCATTACATTATTTAATTACATGAAGGAAAAATTCTCTTCTCTTTGTTTTGAATATATTATTGAACTAAATTATGTATTAATGCAATTTTAGAGAGGTTCAGATGTAGCTTATCAGTGGAGAATGGATCCTGCAATGTTCTAATGTCCTCCATGGCATCAACTCGCTTCGACCAAAAGGTCTAGTCAAATACATCTGACCTAAGATTATAAGCATTTCATGGTGTTTGCTCGATCGTTAAAATAGGCAGAGATGACTTTTATTCAAACACTAAATCCAACCAGCATTTAACTGGTTTGCTCTGATATGTGATAAATTCCCTCATGAGATTATAGGAATGATTTACTTTGATATGTGCGCTTGCAGGGCAGATTTTTTTCAAGGGCTCAAGATTAAAGGCACAAAATAGCTGCCCTGACCTGAACTTTTCAGAGCATAGACTATATGCCCAGTATTTAATAACAGTCTGCAAAACCTTTTCTATCCAGACTCATCTTTTAAACAGACCTACACCCACACACACCACACACACACGACTTCCGAACTTTACTTTAGTTGCTTAAATGGCTACACGGTCGCTCTACGACAGAATGAAATTGAAAACCGTTCTTATAAAGCTGGATAGTAGGAAAATTAAATGTGTTGCTCTTTAGGGTCATGGTCGCCAAGTGGTTTATTGTTAATACACAGTTTTATGGCGATTGTGCTGAGCAGCTTGTAAATTCCATTACACATGTCCGTTAAAGCCCAGGTTTGCTGAATTAAATTAAAGTATCCCTGCAGTAGTATGTACTCTTTTGGAGCGGCTTGAACTTTTTTCGTTTGTAAAATGCTTAGAGTTTGTTTTTTTGTGTTGACTTAGCTTGTCTCCATGTGTTACAGCTGTGTGCAGCGGAGAGATCACAGACTCTGCTGGTGTGGTGTTGTCTCCTAATTGGCCCGAGGCCTACGACAAGGGGCAGGACTGCATCTGGGGCATCCATGTGGAAGAGGACAAAAGGATCATGCTTGACATCCAAGTGTAAGCACCCATACACAGGTTTCTGACTACAGCTCACACACAGGAAGTGAAGGGAGGAGGTCAGATTGAGCTGGCGGCGCTTAACACTCCATCAGTTGCTTTAAACACACACTTTTCTGTTAGTTGCTCATCTGTTTCCTTATCACAGCAGGCTTGTGCACAAAGAGACATCTTGCTGTAGCGCTCATTAATTAGATTTTTTTTTTCTACATTTTTACATCCGCCCACATTAAGGATTCTGTGCTGCTTCCAGCTCGCTCTCTGACCAGATTAGCCAGTAAGCCTCCCTGCTCCCACTTCCCTGGTGTTTGTCTGAGAGTTGGCTTTGAAATTAATATGCTCTGGCAAGTGAACTACTCTGAGCCACTTATCCAGTGTACTCAAATGGAATTCAACACACCCGTACAGATGTCAAAATGGACACATGCACACTGCCTCACCTTCACTTTTCACCTTCATGAGCTCCATTTCACATAATCACAATTGCACAAACACAGAGATGTCGTCTTTCTCATATCTGCACCACTTTTTGGACTTAAATTAGGTGAAAAAATTTCCCATCACCTTGATTACCAGTATGGTGCATTAAACAACCGAAATGATTCAAGTGTTGCCATAAGAATCCACATCTTGTCTTGTTATCTTATATAGATTCATCAGTTAGTTTTACTTGAGGGCTTCCAACTATTTCAGCATGTTCATCAATCTTAACACAGAACAATACAGCATAATTGATTTGTATTATGCGTTTGAAGCAGTTGCAGAAGTGGAGCCATGGGTTAAGATTAAAGTAGAAGGAAATTGGCCTGAGCTGCCAGCAAACAAGGGGAAAAGACAGTGCAGCTAGTGTAAGATATCAGTTGCATCTCTTATTTAGGCAAGCTTGCAGTTAGTTTCTTCAACTTCTGTTTTTTCATATTCATAATTGTTTTGGGACACTGAAAAAAGTATTTTATTGCAACAGACCATTGATGATGTATGTTCTAAGCAGAAATCTTGTGGCAGAGCTCTGAGGTTGCTATTACTGTTTTTATTGGGTAGATTTTAATTACATTTAATTGAATATAAGGTCCTGGTTAGATAATTTGGCTGTCATTAAGCATATAAACTGTTTGACTGAAAATGCAATGACAACCAAATGCCTTCTTTTAAAGTTCACTTTATTTTGATCAAAGGAAACCCTTAGTTGTATAGCAAGAATACAGAAGTAGCCATTCATAATTTCCCCACTTTTATTGATGGCCCTTGGCTGGTCCCCTAAGGTTCCTTTTTTAAACATCAATCTTTGAACTAAAATATTCTCTCTGCCATGATTTGTTGACATTAAGATCTAATCGGAAGCATTATCTCCTGGTCAGACCCTGCAAGTCAGTGAAAGAGTGGAGTAAAAAATAAGCACACCCAGGAGAAGAAGGAGGAGGTCACTCCAGTGGCTGGAGGTTGGCTGCCATTCAGCTGGCGTTTGACTGGGAAGGGTCATTTTGAATGGCTGCTACTGTATGATTTTCCAGTTAGAACGACTGAACCCTGACAGTTTCCTAGTGGCAACTATGATCAAGTTACTTTAAATCACAAGTAATTTCAGGCATTACTTGTGAATCACTGTGTCTCCAAGCCAGTTTTAAACAGTCAAGAAACTGTAGGTACAGTATCTTTGTTCTTTTTTAACCAATTGATATCCATTCCTCACGAGTACACAAAAGGAAATGGTTTTAGACATTTCAACAAAAAGCTATTTGTCACCAAAAACTCTCAGAAGAAAAAAAAAAAATGTTTGCTTGGTCTTCGAATTAGACAAACTTTATTGGCATTTTGTATACACTCTGTGTAAAAATTTCTATCTATACAGCTTTTCAACAGCAAATGAGCAGCTTACAGCAGTGAATTGAACATTCCCATGTAAAAAGTGCTGCAGTGATCAAAAACATATGGTGCAAAATGCAGTAGAAACATTGAGTTGAGTTCTATTTAAAGGGATTGGAGAATTTTTCATGCAGTGCAAATATGATGTGTGATGCAGAGTCTTTATTTGTGCCTTGATTAGAGTAACAACTGTTCAACAGTCAAACATCAAAGTTACTTTGAATTCTAAAATCATGCTGAAAAACAACCTTTAGACTGAAAAGAACTTAGTTCTCTAACTTTTTTCTATACACTGATTGCAATAAAACAAAAGAAACAGAGATTTTCAAATCTCTTATTGACTTTTGTTGTTTCATACCATGCAATGCCATGTTTATTTTTTTTACCCACTTTAAATCAAACCAGAATTTATACAGTGCTGTACATATTGTAGATAGAAACATACAGGAAATATACAGGTTGAAACAGAAAAGTTAAAAAATGAGTAAAGGAATAAATCAGATTAGCCAATCTCTCAGGAAGTACAGAAAATGAAGGTGTTTTGCAAAAAGGTGTGTTTTCTCAACTGTCTCGTGGAAGAGGCCTGTCATCCCTGTTGTGGCTCAACAGTAACACGCATGAGTTTCCTAATCTATCTTTAAAGCTTGCAGGCACTGAGATATGAAACATCATTGAGAGTGATCCACAGACAAAGGAATAAAAGCAGGAGTGCACATTAACAAACTGTACTCAACGTCTGAATTCCATGCAGGGCTTTTTCTGACCCTAAGTCTCCTTATTTTGGGGGGATTAAGAGTAAAAAATTGTCATTAATGTCTGATGTTGAAAGTCTGCCAGTGTACCTTGGATAAAGAAGATCAAGGGGGATTTTTATTCCACAACAGAAGTAAACAAATTTGATTTAAGATAATCTGGTTTTTAATTCACATATCTCTTTCTAGGATGTACCTATTCAATGTTGGTTTTAATCTGAACCACATGAGGCTCCTGTCTGTAAATTAATAGCGCTGTGGCCAGCTTTAGGTAATCTCAGAGTCAGTCAGCCGTGGCTGTCGTAGCAGCTGAAGCAGCCCCCTGATCCCTGCAGACCCCACCGTTACCTTTGTGTCCGGTCCGTTTAGCTTGAGAAACAGCATTCCTAAAGGCTTGGTCAACATGCAATCTGTGTCAAAGTGTGTTTGTGCGCAAAAGGCTCTTGCTTATAAGGGCTGTCTCATTATAAGGGTGGGAACACACTTTTCCACATTAATGAGAATGTTTTCTGTGTTATCATTCATCACTGTGCCTGTGCTGGCAATTACAGAGGAGCAGTGTGCATAATGAGGACTGATTAATTAATTTAGGCCAAACAGGAGGGCTGGCTCTTTGCTAATTAGTGTGGAGCATGGCTCAACCAGGAGCAAAAAACAAGAGGTTACAGCTGATATTCCCACCTGTAGAATACACCTCGGTTTAACATTCAGATTGCACTATTTGCACCACATTAAGTTGTGTTTATGTATGTTTACTGACCAGGAACAGAAACAGTTTAGTTTGAGTAAGCTGCATCCTCTGGTGGTGACTATGTGAATTACATGCTAAATACAAGTAGTTTGATATTTAGTGCATAAAACTTTTAGTTTTTAACTGCAAAAATAAATGTAGATTCATACTCTCTATGTGAGGAGATTAAGAAGCTTCCCTCTAAAAGCATGCCAATGAAAGCAATTTCTATTCTGTCTGAGTTGCTGGAGGTTAGCTTGGCTTTTTTTTGTCAGGTTGGTGAAGGAGACAAATGCCTAGAGGCCTGTGAAAAACAAATGTTCTCTTCTCATCCCTTCTGCTGAACCCAGTGAGTGTTATTAGTATGCATAGAACTTCTCAAAGTTCTTTTGTGAACTAAACTAAAAGCTTGAAGAGGCCAAGAACGTCTTTAAGGAAGACTTTTTTCATCAGATACAGCACTTTGCAAAATTATTCATTAATGCGTACTAACTATTACACACATCCACATATCCTGAACTTTCAGTGAAAACGTCAAAGTATTTAATCTTCACTCTGTGTGATAGACTATGACAAAGCAGCACCTAGTTGTGAAGTGGAAGTAGATTTTTACATTTAAATTAGCAGCAGCAGTGATCAAATGTAAACATTGTGGTAGAACACAGTCTTTGACATGATAGTGTTTTTTCAGCTATCTGATGGTGGTGGGGAAGAAACTGTTTTGGAATCTGCTGTACCTGCATTTAGGAACCCAAGACTTGAGACTTCCCTTTTTATATAACAGTAAACATTCTAGCTACAAAGTACAGGTTTATATCAAGGCATGTTTATCTTTATAAAAAGCCGAGTGAAAGTCCAGACCAAAATTGGAAATTGTTGTTGACAGATATTCTTCAGACAAATCTGACTGAGGTAGAACTATTTTCCAAAGAGGAATAAACAAAAAAATCTAAACACAAATTTTTTTTGGAAATCCCAAAAATACCTGTGACAACAATTCTGCAAAGGTATTAACCAGGGGAGGCTAAATAGAAACAGATACCACAAATTTCAGATGTAAAAGCTTTTGAAGACTTTTTCACATTCCTTCTCCTTCATATGTTTTTACATCTTGATTAATTACACTAATTTTAGGTTGTAACATGACAAAAAATGTGGGGGGAAAAAAGGTGTTACAAGGCAATAGGATAGCACACTGGATTTGATAGGATCAAATCCTGACTTTTTATTTCAAGAAGTGCTTGTGAATCGTAGATGATCTGTACTTGTATAAGGCTTCATTGAGTCAGAGGACTTCACATTACAGTCTTTCACTCTTTCATACACACATTCACATGCCGGAGGTGATAAGCTACATTGTATCATCAAGGTGCACTTCACTTTTCTTTTCAGGTTATTTAAATCAGTTTTTTTCCTATGGGTTTCCAATTATAAACCTTTTCTTGAAGTAGTCTATTTGGAGGTTATGATATGGTTTAAACAGTGGCGTGACAGTAAGGCTATTTCAAATGGTGTATTCCATAATAAACCCTCATAAAATTTTTGGAATGAAAGTGCAAACGCCAGTGAGAAATATAGGTGAGAGATATTTGGGGAGTGCTGTACTAAAAATAAAGATAAGTGTCGTCTTCAAAGATTCTCCTTTCAGAGCTCCT